TCCCTAATGTCTAGGGGTTTTTTTTTAATGTGGAAAGGTTTTTGTTTTTTTTAAGAGGGAGATGTACACTCATGTGAGCCCTGACCGACACTCTGAATGGATATCACCCAGACTCAGGGTGAGTCTAGAGTTTATACTCCGGGGAAGGGTGAGGGTGGAGGCTGCAATGACTGACAGTGAATCAAACAAAGAAAATCCAGCCTTCTAAATGTTCATTTGAACAAATATGCTTTTGAACAAATAACCCAAGAAAAGAAATAATGGGTTGGATCCTTCTTACAAGGCTTCAGCACTTGGCCCTGACACTGGCCACACCTCTTCCCATTTCCTGAAGCTTAGCACACCACCAGAAAAGCTGTTCTTGAGCAGACTGCAGTTCAAGTGGAGAGTCCATCAGAACTCACAGATCCCTTCTCATGTTGGCAGAAGCAGCTTCCACTTCTGAAGGGTCCCTGTTGGACCCCAGCTAGCGCATTAGCAGTGGAATCCTCAGCAGAGTTATACCCCTTCTAAACTCATTATTTTCAATGGATTTGAAAGGGTGGAACTTTTTGAAATTAGAAATGCACTATAAAAGTATGTGGATAGTAGATATGTTTATTTATATGTTGCCTAACAATGTAAAGAGTACAATGAGTGTTCTGCCTATATCATAAGAAGAGCTGCTGGAAACTGAGAACACATAAAAGAATTGCTGCTCCTGCTTTGGAATCTTTGGATCAGAATGATTAAAATTACAATCTGATTAGAAAGAAGAAACCCTTGTTGTAAACAATGTTCCCTCTAAACTGTGGAGTCTTGTGAGCAAGAATTCTTCTTTGTGAGCTACTGACATTAAAGTTGCGAGCGAGTGATTTGGTTGCTGCATAAATTAGTCTGCTCTGGAGCCATCCTGCTTGAGCTAAGACAAAAATGTGTGATCCGGAGGTTAAAAACTGTGAGCTAGCTCACACTAACTCAGCTTAGAGGGAACACTGGTTGTAAAACACCTCCTGCACTGAGCAAATCTTTCCAACGGTTGAAATTTGGGCTGGAGAGAGAGAGTAGCATTGCTTCAGAGAGGTGAAATGGTTATTATAGAATTAGCATTGTTCATTATGTATAAACTCTTTTGGGGGAGAGGGGAGCTATATTCTCTGATCAAACAGATTTTGTCAATTTTGGGGAAGTTGTATGTCCATAGCTGCCTGGCCAGAGCCAGTAAATCAGTGTGTACATCACAGGCAATGGCGGCTCTGTTTTATCAGACATAGTGTCTGTCTCCAGCTAACACTGAGCTGCTTGAGAAAAACAAGTAGAACATGTGAGAAAGAAGTGGAAGTGAATTCTCGAATGTCCATAGCAAGCATGAAGATCTGAGAAGGAACTAGCCGATACTGTGATTGCTTCATGAATGCAAATCAGTGGTCATATAGTGTCCCTGTAGCTCACTGAGTTGTTCATACTAGTTTTAAAAGATTATCATATCATTAGCATGCCTTTATGCTATTGCTACAAGCATTACTAATATTAACCTCAGAGCAAGATGGGGTTCCCCCCTCCCCATGTCATCTTCTAAAGAGAGTTAAAACTGGGGTGTCCTACCATTCCAGTCCAGCTCTGTTGATCTCTTCCCACCAGCACTCTGTCTGCTCTCCGAGGTTCTGCGGGGTAGGCATGCAGGCATAGTTCCACCGTCGATCAGAGCCTTCTTTTTTGCTGAAGGTGCTCCTCACGGCCACGATCACTTCTCCAGGAGGACACTGGAAGTTGAAACCCTGCCGATACACATTGACCCATTCATCATCATCCCTGTATTCGTTGTGGGAGAAATAATATCCCTCGTAGTCCTCATACTGGCCCCAGGCCACTGTGAACAGTGGCAGGAACACACAGAGAAGCACAAGGTCCATGTTGCTTGTGTTTCTGGCTGTAAAACACCCCACTGGGTTGTTGTGCTGGCTTTTTTATATTGTCTCACATTTGGATTCCAGATGTGGAACATCCAGCTCCAAATGCTATGTGTCATTGTTTAGCAAAACATCTCTGTGCTAAAGAGCTGGCTGCAGACACATTCAATTAGTTTTTAAGGTGGAATTTTACACTCCTTCTTTATATCCAAGAACAGGGATTTCCTAGGACTGTAAAAAGTTGAAATCCCCAGTGCTCTTATAAAAGACGTGTCTCACAGATGTGTACACGGTAGCTAAGGCACAGAGTAGTGGGAGAACTTTTTATTTATTTGCAAAAAAATTTATTCTGCCTTTCTGTCCTTACAAGGGCCAACAAGGCAGCTACAAATTTAAAATATACATGATAACATTACATTTTAAAACCATTAAAAGCAACCCCCAAACACACATCATTAAAACAATTAAACAACAGAGTTAAAACACCTACAAAACATAAAAACAGCAATTGAAACATTGGTTAGGAAGGAGGGATCATTCAGGGAATGTGAAATGAAACAAAAATTCTTCACCTGCTGGCAGAAGATGGTAAAAGAAGGGGACAGATTAATCTCCTTGGGGAGAGAGTTCTAGAACTTTGGTGATGTGACAAAGAAGGCCCTGTTCCAGGTTGCCATGCTCCTGAAGCAGGACTTCCAAATATGACTAGTGGTCAGGCAAGTTCATAAAGGAGCAGCTTCTTTTCCATTTTAAAGCACTGCTGCTGCAGGAGATGGTTATTTTGGGAAAAAGTGAAATTCTAGGAATCATACTGGCATAACGTCTGGTTGCATGTACATTCCATTGTCCATTTGTAACAGAGAGAAAATTTATTTGGTAGTATAAAATATGCAAGCCCTGATCCAACTACGCCCATCTAACAACAGCCCTCTACTGCTATTCAGTTCTACTCTGTTCATGTTAACTAGTAGCCTGCCAGCTGGACATATCAGGAGTATTAGCATCCCTAATGATGCTATAATTTGTGCAGTTGACATCTTGTGTGAATTTTCCATGCAAGTACAGCTTTCATTCGTAGGGTTGCCAGGTCCCTCGTGGCAACCGGTGGGGGATGGGGGGGAATTTACTAGTTTGGTGTAGTGTTTAAGAGTGGCAGTCTCTAATCTGGAGAACTGGGTTTTATTCCACACTCCTCCACACGAAGCCAACTGAGTGACTTTGGGTCAGTCACAGCTTTCTCAGAGCTCTCTCAGCCCCACCAACCTCACAGGGTGTCTGTTGTAGAGAGAGGGAAAGAAGGTGATTGTAAGCAGCTCTGAGACTCCTTTGGGTAGTGAAGTGTGGGATATAAAAAACAACTCTTCTTCTTCTTACCAGAACAGAGAGGAAGGTCCAGACCACATCACTGGCATCGCACGGGATGTGACATCATCATGCCAGTGATGTCCAGGTGAGGCTGTGGTATTTGGACAAAAACGATCATAAAAATGGCTTCTACCATACAGTTTTTCCCCAAATACCAGAGCATTGCCCGAACATAACTGGCATGATGACTTCACTTCCTGTGTGACACCAGCGACATGGCTTGGGCCTTACTCTTTCTACTGGTAAGTCCCCCCGCCAGACAACTGATCAGTGGCTAAGGGGCAGGGCCTGGCCACAGGGAACCCTCACCTCTACCAGGGGGTCTGGCAACCCTATCAATTTGTGTGAACGAGAACACAAAAAACCCCTCAGATTTCTGGAATAGAAACCATACCCACATGTAAAATCCATGCATCATCCAATCACAGACAGTAACCATGGGTATTGTGGTCCTGATCCATGTGGCTGGCAGGTTCCCACTTTATGTGAATGGAATGGAATGTCTATGTCAGGGTTGGGCCCAACCCTGACAGTCTCTGCAAAAGGCCTTTGGCCTGCATGTTACCTTACTTGAGCAGTTGATCAGTTATTCAGCATGAATGGAGTGGGAGGAACTAACAGTGCAGTCCTAAGAAGAGTTATACCTTTCTAAGTCCATTGAACTTTCCATAATGAGTCAAATAGCACCCAAAAGACCATTTCAGGTCAGGAAAATGGTACAGGTAGGATTATAAAGCAGCTGCAACCCAAATTGGGCTCTATGTGCAAGAGCTGAGTAACTCACCTATGACTGTTATACAGGATGAAGAGTGAGTACCCCAGATGTGTATTCTGTAACAGCATGACAATTGGCTCCCAGTTCCCTTTCTGAAATGGCAAATTGGTATGATTGCCCAATTTTTTGATCACAGTCCCAGCAGCTGGATCAAGGGGAAGAGCATCCTCCCAGTATCATCTGCAGATGTAGTTCCTCAGCCAGCTATGGTTGAGAAGGCACTGTAGTATGGTGGTAAAATCAGCAGTTCCCAGACTTTTTGAAGTGGAAGTCACTTCTGAACTCACTGTACTCTTTGAGATCCAGTTGCAAACTAACTCCGTGCTACCTTGCCTCTCCGCAAAATATAGGAATGTCACATCAGTAATACTAACTGAGCCCATTTGCGGGGAGGGCGGGGTATAAATGCAATAAAATAAATAAATAAATAAAAATAACACATTTATATTTATATACCTTGGAGGGCATGTAGAGGAGCATCATGCAGAGGTCGCTCGTGAGTTTGAAAATATAGGAATGTCACATCAGTAATACTAAGACATTTATATTTATATACCTTGGAGGGCCTGTAGAGGAGCATCATGGAGAGGTCGCCTGTGAGTTTGAAGTCTCTAGTTTGCAGAGGGTCCATTCTATACACTCTTGGACCTGCACCCTGTCATTTCCCCAGAAAGCATTTTCCTAGGGACACCTTCTTAGGGGGAGGGGGCATAAATCCAATACTCACCAAATATTAAGAACAGGTAGAGGAGAATCAGTCAGAGATCTCCTGCGAGTCTGGTGTCTCTAGCATGCCGGGGGGGGGGATTCTACCACATCATGACCCAAACGAGCTCATCCTAAAAGTTTGTGACAGTTCATGGCTCATGAACTGGGCACACTGTGAACTGAAACAAACTGCATTTTCCAGGTTCATGCCCATCCCTAGTTCTGGCACTCAGATCCTGTTCCTTTCCCTGGCTGGTCTGAGCTCAGACTATTGCTTCCTCCTCAGACAAGGTGTGGGGCCTTCCCTTTTATGGGATTCCCTGGCTCCACCCCCACCTGACCTGTATCCAGTCCTCTTCCACCTGCCCTACCTGGAAGACTCTAAAAGGAAAGGGAAGCCCTTCCTGTCTCCCTGCCCTGCTCCTTTCCCTTGCTGTTTAGGTCTGCCTATTAGCCCCTCCCATCCTGGCTTTCTTCAACTCCTGGCTTGACCTTGCCTCTGACCCCATCCCCTCCTTGCTGCTGCCTGGCTCCCAGGCTTGTTCTTAGCTGTATCAGAGTGATATGCCTGGGTCCGGACCGCTGCGTTCTCCCAGCCTTCCTCACAGGGGTGAGTCATAGGGGTGAGATCCACACCAATGCAAGCTATCCTCAGCTCAGGTAGCCAAGGCAGGGTCAAGTCAGGACCAGGTGTCATATGATTATTCACTAGGGTTGCCAAAAACCCCAGTTTGCCAGGGGTCCCCCAAATGGCCGGTGGGGGAAGCCCCACTCCCAACACCCACAGCCACCCATCTCTCTCCCTTTAAGTGTGTGGAACCCGTCTTTCCTCCCAAGCGCAAGCTTGCAGGGAAATGCCAGCTTCGTGCTCTTAAAAGGGAAACGCAGCTGCTCTTAAAGGGGAAATGCCGGCTCCTGCATTTAAAAGGGAAACGCCGGCTCCTTTAAGTGCAGGGAATTGCCGTTTCTAGAGATCTGATGCACGGGGGGGGGGCGGACGTCCCCAGCGTGATGTCATCGCGTCAGGGATGCCCCGCCCCCTCCAGGAACGCCCCCAAAGACCCCCGCTGGGGGTGGAAGATGGACCTGGCAACCCTATTATTCACTTTATTTATAGTCTGGCTTTCTCGCAGAGATTCAAGGTGGACTACAGAATTTTAAAATACAATACGATCAGTATAAGACATCTAATCAGCAATGAAATAGGACTAGGTCACAACATTACAAAACAACAGTTTGGATCCCGCAGAGTGTCAATGGAAATGTAAACAGATTTAACGCAGCTCTGCTTATGCAAGATGCTCATGCAAGATATGCAAGAAAGATATCCGCTTAGCCTCAACCAGAGCCAGGGCCTTTTCGGCTCTGGTACCGGCCTGGTGGAACACTCTCCCAGGTGAGATCTGGGCCCTGCAGGACTTAATGGAGTTCCACAGGTCCTGCAAAATGGAGCTGTTCCGCCAGGCCAACGACTGAAGCTGTAGTAACCGTCAGGACTGGCCTCCCCTGTGCTCTCTCTTCCTTGCCTGTTTGTCCTGCTCCTCTGCATTATTTTAACATATATTGTTGCACATGATGCAAAACCCCTCTGGAGTTTTAATTAATCTGTTCTAATGTTTCAGCTGCCATCAGATATCGATATTAGACACTGTTTTTAATGTTAATTTATATTTATTGTTTTAAATGTTTTTATTGCTATTGCTGTTATCCACCCTGAACCTGCTTGCAGGGGAGGGCAGGCTATAAATCAAATAAATTGAATTTTGTGCAATACATAGTGCCTTTCCCCCTGCTTCATAGAGTGCCCCAAAATTGTTTGTACAATGACTTGCAGAAGCAGAAAAGCAGTTCAGGATATACTATGCTTAACACAGTGCACAGTTTGTTTGTTTTTCTCTGACTGGCTCAAGGACTCCAGCACATATGGAAATCTTCTATGAGATCCAAACCAATGCAAATAAAAAGCAGTATGACATACCATAACATACATAAGACAAAAGCTGGATTACAAAAATTAGAAAACAATGCAGTGAAAATATGATAATAAATATATTAAGCTGTAATCCTATAAATGAATAAACTAAATAATAAACAAATACAAAAAAACTACAATCCTGTCCCCATTATAAAAGTGCCCTCCTGAACAATTCCATTTTACTGCGACTCTGTTCCCTTTATAAAAATGACCTCCTTGAACAAGGCTATTTTGAGAACATTCTGTTTTAAGGCAA